TTCTGGGAGTTGAAGTCCACTCATCTTAAAGTGGCCAAGTTTGGACAACACTGGGTTAGACGGTAGGTAGGTTCAGGATTTGATAATTCTATATTTTTACTGGGGCTGTAACTAGATCATGGTGGGTGTTGATTGTATTGCTTTGGTGTGGTTTCCGCTGTTTAATTTTTCATTTTGGATCAGGGTGGGACTGTGTCCTGGTGGGGGGAGGCCCGGTGGTAAATAGCGTTTTTGTTTGTCCCTAATAAAGATCTATTAATTCGAGAAGTAAATTTTCAGAACCGAAGCAGCTGATCTGAATTTTCTCAAAAGTGCTATCATAACCTCCAGACCCCAAGCTGAGGAAACAGGGGGCTGCAGCTCTTTTAGGTAGGGGAAGGAATTATTTTTCCACTCTCAGAAAATGACAGCTAAGTTTTAGAAGTGTAGCCTGCAGCAAAATGCTGCAGTACAGAGCGGTCTGGTTCAGAGCTGAAAAAAGGGCTGGGGGTTTGTGCGCTCCTGCTCTGGGCTTTGTTTTACCAGCCCCCGGCATGCCCCATTTCCAGATTCCGTAAAAACAATAACTTTCTACGGCCAGCAGGTTCTATATAACATTGTGCAGTTTTTCAGAGTTTAAGAACTCATTGACAGCCTAATCAAAGCATTGCTTCTGTAGAGCTCCTATCCCATCACCGGTACTATAACTTCCTATAAGTAAATGTATGTCATACATTCCAGATGCAGGAAAAAACTATCTAAATGTGGGACTTTGCTTCAGATTGGATCTCCAAAAGGGGCTAAACCAGGGTTTAACAGGCGTTACGCTTGTTGTAGCCACAGCTGGAGAGCCAGTTTGGTGTAATGGTTCAAGCATCAGGCTAGAAACTGGGAGACCTGAGTTCTAATCCTGCCTTAGGCACTAAACCAGCTGGGGGATCTTTGGCCAGTCCTTCTCTCTCAGCCCTAGGAAGAAGCAGGCGAGGGCAAACCTCTTCTGAAAAACTTTGGCAAGAAAACTGCAGGGACTTGGACTTTTCTAGGCAGTTGCCAGGAGTCAACACTGACTCGAAGGCCAAAAATGGATAATAGAAAAAAGTGAGGGTTTTTTTGTAATCTTAGAGTAAGAGATAATTTTGTAATCCTACTTACATTTCTGAGAAATTCTATTTTTATTCTTTCTCACTGCACTTGTTTTTTCTTTCTTCCTTTTTTTCTTTGTTCTGTTTTGTATTAGTTGTTTTTATGTTCTTTTTAAAACTTTTCATAATTAAAAAAAAACTGACTCCAAGGCCCCCCCCCCCCAAAAAGTACCACTGCTTAAATTTCAAAGTCTTCAGTACGTAGCCTAAAGTGAGTCTCCTCTTCTCACCCCTCCGGCGGCGTGCGCTGGATGTAACTCCAGGGATAGCCCTTACAAACTGGACACCCGCTTGATTTGCCGCCGGTCGCTCTGCACGGGCCTGATGGAAGGGGCGCTGATGACGACCTGCCACCGGCTGAGTTTGAGAAAACCCCTGCAGTGGTCCAACAAGTGAGGGCAGGAAAGGTGCGGTTTAGCCTTTAAAATCGACTGCAGGCGGCCGTGGGTCAGTGGCTTCTGGGGAGAATGGCATGGCCGGAGGAGTGGAAGCCTGGAGGAACCGTAAGGAGGAAGCCATGAAGAACTAGCATGGCAGAACAGAGAGGCAGGAATGAAATAACGCCCCGTGTTGTGGCAGGAGTCATCTAGCGCTTAACCTGGACGCAAGCTGCTTCTTCCTCATCTGTCTTGTTCCTGCTGCGGTAACGTTAATAAACGGCAGATTAAACAGCTAACCAGTCCCTTGGTGCATCCAAATTCTTGGCTTGGTTGTAAGGCTTAGCCTGGCTGGTCTGGGACCGTACTACATCAAGACGCAGAGGGGAAGCGTCAGGCCTGAACGCCGCATGCTGGACACAGGAAAACAGATCTTGTTTGGGTGACCCCACAGGGGCTAAAGTCATAATCAGTGAGGTGGGCAGTGACAAATTTGAAATAGAAATAATAAATAAATTAGCACATTCTAAGGATGGCAAGCCACGAATCACAGTTCAATGTGTGTAAATGAAGCTGCTGTGATGGATTTGGCAAACCATGGGTAAAAGCCACAGGGCAGTGCAATGTAGGAATTCTCTATCTTGGTCTTTTTAGCTTGTCATGGTCTGTTAGAAGTTCTGTAGGGTCAAAAGTGAGGAGTGGGGAGACTTTTTCCTATTACCTCCACTTGGGCTTTTTAAAATCAGAGAGGGCAAGGTGAACCCTGTGACCTTCTGAAACATGGTGCCTTCCCCCAGCGGTGTGGGCCGATTTTTAAGGGCAGAGAACTGGACCTAAATAATCTTTACAGACCTGTCCTGCCAGTCTGGAACAGCACCAGCCATGCTGCATCTTAACCGTTAACATTCTGACCAAGGGGCAGGGCATAAGGTTTTGCTAGCAATGCCAAAACTCCCATCCTGGATTTGAAGCCAGCCTAACCCCGTAAACACTTTTCTTGGCATAAAAAACGGAGGCACAAGCTCTTCCTTTTACCGCCCAGCTTAATCAGCCTGTGATATCACCAAGGGCAAGAAATTGGAACAGGTTCAGAAAAGGGCAATGAAAAAAAATGATCAGGGGACTGGAAATTAAGTGCTGTGATTTGAAAAGAGATTGGAGCGGAGTGTGATTAGCGCTAGAAAAAGACAAGGGAGGGTACATAATAGGATTAATTATCTGAAAGGATGTCCTAGGGATGAAGGTCAAGATCAATTTTTTCTTGCTTCAGAGCGCAGATCATGGAATAATAGATTTAAGTTACAGGAAGCCAGTTTTCAGCTGAATGTTAGAAAAAACTTTCTGAGCGGAAGAACTGTTCAACAGCGAAACCAATGATGCAGAAAGTAGGTTCCCTTCACTGTCCGGCGAAGGCTGGACAGCCGTCCCTCAGGAGTATTTTAACTTGGATTCTGGCACTCAGTAGGGGTTGGGTGAGTTGACCTCAAGTGTTTCTTCCAAAACTCTAACAATCTAGTAAAGGCCTAAATGAATATATAAGTAATTACGGCACACCTGACTGGCTGGGATGACATGAACGTTTACTGCCTATACCCAGGATTCTGGTTTTTAACCGTACCCTGAAAGAAACAGACATATCAAAACACTTTTTAGGGTTTTTTTTATTCTATAGATCTCACATTCGACATTTCGCAGGCAGTGCAATTCCCAATACCAGTTTTTCCTCCCCAATTGGCCTCTAAACCAGGTTTAGTGTATGTGTCTTCTTTGAGCTGAATATATTGCTCATAAATCTTGAGTTTGATGAAACATGTACTAATGCTTGGGGGGAGGGGGAGGGAGAGAAAAAGAGCCAAGAGGGGCATGGGGGGGGTCAAAAAAGTCATGATGGCAGTTGTGACGATGCAATCAATGCCTTGGCCCCTTTATGGCCAGGCTGGGATATACCACATTGAATCAGTGCCCCCCCCCCAAAACGTGGTGCTGTCTGCCCAAAGTTCAAGCCACATTTAGCCAGGTGGAATACAAATTTGCTGGAATTAGTATGAAGGGTTTGAAGAAAAAAAAAAACTCAGTTTTTTACATGCAGGCCTGGGCAGGTCGAGGTCTCTCCTGCAATCAGTTCAAGTAATTTCCTGGCAACAGTTCAACAATCTGGTGCTTTCCCAGCTGAACAAGAAAAGAAAGTGTGCAAAACTCCAGCAAGTGAAGACACGTAGTAGCCACAACTGCGTTAGCGGGAGCACCTACTGACCCCCCAATGCAAAATGCTGCAGGACCCAGAAGAGGCAGAACAAGTCCAAGAGGAGGCAGGAAAAGTACACCGAAAAGAAAGGAATCGGGCAATACCGTGAAGGTGGGATCTCCGGGCCCAGAGAGAACCAAGCACTAGCAGATCCCTGGGGGTTACGCTGAAGGCTTGGAGAGGTTATGTTCGGCAAACCACTCGTGGCTTTTATCGGCCGCCATCGCCTGTGTGGAAGAAAAAGAAATTAAATGAATACAACCTGGCCCAAAAAGACTGAATTTGGATGGAATTAGGTTAGAGAGCATTTTTACAATAGCATACAATTGCAAATCCTGATTTTTGCCCAGGTTTGTAGATCTCATGAATACAGGGCAAAATTTATACCTGTTTTACGGATGCTGAGATTCTGGAGGCCAAAAGAGCCACCACCCAGACTGAGGATTTAAGAATTAGCTGGTTTAACTGTCATGGCTTTATCATCTTTGCACAGAACCTGGGAGCTGTTATTAGGAAACTAAGACGTTTTGGTATACTTACGAACTTAGCGTTTTCAGGTTCCTTCTAGGAAGCCGCGACAATCCCTGCTTTCTTCTGGAGATCTGAGTGTATTAGAAATGTTGAAGAGGAGACACCAACTCACCTCATCCAAGAGCTTCTCGCCGTTTGGGTCCACCTTGGAAAGTTCCCTAAAGGCCTCGTCCCCAACAAAACATATTTCGTGGCCATCCTATGGGAAATTGAAGAGGGAGACAAAAACATCTCAAATGAGACAGCCACTGTTGGGTGGCTAAAGTTGTTACCTAACAAGAAGCGGAACTGATGGTCAATACAAATTTGTTTTGCATATCTAGGCCTTTGAGACTATCCTTGGAAGAAAACACCAAGGAATTTACATCTCAGGCTATTGGGGGGCGGGGGGAGGAAGGAAGAGTCAGGCACATCTCTGGGGCAGGTCCACAAGAATGAGGATAGATTGATTCATTCATTCAATTTTTATCCTTCTAATTTTTCAGCCAAGTGAAGGCGGTGTACATGCCGGAGGATCCAGTTCTCTTCTCCAGAACATCTTTAGGCAAAGTCTCTGAGAAGGGAGGGCTGGGGGGTTCTTTTAATATCACCACAATTCTTGCACAAAAGAGAGCAGAGATTAGCAAGAGACTCAGTTATCTGAAACTCCAGAAGAGAGCCAGTTGAAGATTAAGAACTTCACCTGAAGGGCAATTCAGCCATGGAAGCAACTCCCCAGAGGGAGCGATGGGCTTCCCCTCGGTGGGCATTTTCAGTCAGAGGCCAAGAAACTAACCATGGGCAAGGCTCAAATTATGGGACTCCAACACTGAATAGGGGATTGGAGCTAATGGTCTCCCACAACCCCACCAGTTCCATGTTTCTACCCTTACTAGGGCTAACTTTAAGACTTGTTACATCTTTAAACGCAATTTTTAAAATTCTGAATCGGCAGAGAGAGACATTTCTGGTTTTGCACTAGACTCCTGAGTTAGCAAGCAGAACATGTGGTCAGTTGGTCCAGGACACACACACACACACACACACACACACACACACAAAACCTCTCCTTAGTGGAATTCACTTCCACAAAATGCGTCACAGACCCTAAACTATTTATTTAAGAAGTAACTGAACTGGTGGAGGATACCATCTGCCACCCTGGGTCTTAGCCATAATTGCTTCATGGAGCCTTCACGTTCAGGAGCAGCCTATCCCTGAAAGGCAGGGACTGGAAATAAACAGAGCTCTGCTCACAATCCAGTAAAATATTGTTTTATGCGTAAGATGGCCATCTGGTAAGGGCACTCACAGGATCAGCCAAGATAACAACTTGCACTGTTGCCTTTCCGGGCGTGTCCAGGCTCACCAGAGGCGTCAAAATCTTCTGGTTCTCCTTTATCATTAAGGCTTCAATGTCAGGTAACTTGGCAAATGTGAGAAACAGGATCCAAGCAGGAAGAGAAGAAGGAGAGGTGAGAGAGAAGGCCAAAAAGATGTGCAGTCATTTCCTGCAAACAACCACCCTCCCCTTCTGAGAAAGTATTTTAAAAACATTTCTTATAATCCTCAACCCCTTCTTCATGTCTGACGCTGCTTTGTACTATAAACAACTTAACCCAACCCAGACAAAATTGCAAAATATGTTTCCTGGTGGATTCTTAATGAAATGCAGGCAAGGAAAAGGAAGGGGGAAATTTGTTTTCCATTTCACGTGGCCTGCTTGGTGAGAAATGTGCCTCTGCATTAGATGTCACCAAAGAAACAGGGCGATAAACTCCCCAATTAGGTTTTCATGTCACTCCAAGATAAAGAACAAACGGACCCGCTCGCTCTAAATCCACCACAGCGAACTAAATTGCACAATGGGCTTGGGACACGCCTCATGCACAAGGGTCTCACCTCTTCCTTTGGGCAAGAGAAGGCAATTCGTCCAAAGGCCGTGCCGTGGTTCACAGCATGGCCAATGCCTTGCAGCTCAAGTTTACACTGGAAGAGAACAAGAAAAACAACTGGGTTTGCAAAAAGGCCACACAAAATGACACTATAGGTAGTCCTTGACTTATGACAATTGGGACCGGAACTTTCATCACTAAGTGATGCGATCATGCTCAATTTTATGATCTTTTTTGCGCAATCGTGAAGCGAATCTGGCTTCCCCCATTGACTTTGCTTGTTAGAAGCCCTCTGGGAAGGTCGCAAATGGCAATCACATGACCCCGGGATACTGCAACCGTCGTAAATACATGCCAATTGCCAAGCACCTGAATGTTGATCATGTGACCACAGGTACGCCACAACGGCCGTAAGTGTGAGGACCAGTCATAAGTTACTTTTTCAGCACCGTTGTAACTTCAAATGGTCATTAAATGAATGGTCGTAAGTTGAGGACTACCTGTAATTAGTTTCCATGCAGTTACCAATCTGGGACAGGATGCAAAAACTTCTTTATTGTAAATTTTGGTGGACTTCTACAGCCATGATCTAGTTTGTCTGTCTTCTGATCGAAAGCAGCTACCTGATGGGTGTAAAAGGGCAACGTCTTTTTCCACTCTCTATTAACTGAATATTTCAGTAGGAGATTGACCTGAGGTTTCTGCATGCAAAGACATTACATTAGCTGTGCGGATGGGCTGGTCTAAGCATGGTCCTCCCTCCCATCTGCCCAGGCACAGAGGTACCTGACAAAGAGGCACAGAGAGCGCTTTCTTCCTGACCCTGTGCGACCTGTTTGATTTTGACACAACATGCTGTTGATCCCAACTGACTGTAATATATTCAGTAAAACAACAAGGGAGAGTGCAAGGTGAAACCAGGTCTTGGCTAAGTTCACACAACAACATGCTTGGCCAGGGGTGTCCTCAGGATGCAGTCATAAAAGACAAGAGGACGGCTGCCACACTGCAATTGATGCTTTGCCTGTTTTTGGTGTGTGTTGCAGATAAAACGTGCGCAGACGCCCGACACCCATAAAAAACAGGCGGAGCTTTGATCTGACCGTCATGGCTGCCGTCTTGATTTTTTTGACCATATCCTGTGGATATCCCTGTGCTTGGCTAAAAGGCAGTTTGCTTGTTTGTGGCTTATCCATAAAGAGAGCTCCTTCCCGCCTTGGTCTAAACCAAGGTGGCAACTAAACAAAGCAAATCTGGAGAATCCTTTCTGACACGCATGAGCCAGAAGCAGCACTGAACCTTCTTAGCCTGAATTCACACAACAGGCTAACTAGGCTAGAACAGAGTTGGACAGATTGTGTTTCAGCAAGCCCAGCCATTCTCTTCACAACTTGTGTGTCCCAGTCTTCAAGCTAAGCGGTAATACAGCTTGCTAAGTGCAAACACAGCCTCTGAGAACATCAGCCTCACCTGGTTATTGGCGTAGCCAAGCAAAACTTTCTGCTTGCCTTCGTCCTTCTCATACACTTTCATGCCCAGCAACTTGGACCAGTAATCCACGGATTTCGGCAGGCTGGACACAGCCAGAGTCACCTTCAGCACCGGATCTGGAGGAGAACACCCACATAAGGATGGGCTTGAGTGCAGGGGGGGGGGGGGGGGGGAGCAAGGAGAGCTGGGGGCTACTTGGCCTTTGCAAAGATCTTGGACTAGACCACCCTGTCACATTCTAAGTCCCACATAGCTCAACTAAAGGCCTTCCCACAGCAACATAGCACTTCTCAACTAGCAGTCGATCCCAGCTTTTCCCATCACCTTCTGAAGGACATCAGAGTGCTCTCAAGGACCTCCTCATGATCACCCTATCATTTCCCCTGAACCTAGGCCGCAGAGCATCACCAGATATGCAAGCGAGATGCCTGCAGCCTCACTGTTCTATCTGCTCCTTACCTTCTTTGGGTCGCTCTTTGTCTTCCAGGAAGAACTTATATCCTCCTGGGGCTTCCGTTTCATAGATGCCTCCTGAGGTCTCCTTCAGTGGCCACTGCAGTTTTCTGGCATTATTCACAGCCTGACTCGATGTAACAGTCATCCCCTGGTATAGCCGAGGAAAAAAGTACAGATATAATGATTACAATAGAACAGGGAGAAACAGAAGCTCCTTTCACCTTTGGCTTACAAGTTGTTATATTTGTAACTGAGCACAAGGAGGCACTAGACAGGTAGTCCTTGTTTAGTGACCACATTGGGACCAATTATCGCTAAGTGAAAAGTCAGGTGACTGTATCTGTGCTAACAATTTTACTTCAGCTTTCCTTTTTCCCCACTCCCCTTCCTTTTCAAATGCTCAGCCTGGGGCTATAATAATTAGCAAGAAGGTAATTAATGTTTGTATTTACATCCATTGGAGAGGAAGGGATTACAAGAGAGTAAGCAGGCATACAGTGGGGAATACACATGGAAAGGAATGCTCTAGGACAGTGTTTCTCAACCTTGGGAACTTTCAGATGGGTGGACTTCAACTCCCAGAATTCCCCCCCCCCCCCCTCGCGCCTGGGGAGTTTGGGGGGGAAAAGACCCCCCTATTCGAACGAAACAA